TATTTCTTGTTTCAACGCGTGTATCTTTATTTTCTGACTTCTGCAATCACGATCTCATCTCACCACTCGCGATGGTCTTTTTTCTCGTGGCTAATTAAATTTTTCATGATAAAATTGCAGCTTCGTTCGCCGACTTGAGAATAAATCTGGCGGGAATCGAGTAGATAGACGAACCGTACGAGGGACAACGGGTGCGAAATTACACGTCGGGACCCTCCCTGATTAGACGATCGAAAAGATCAAATCCAGGATGCATTCGCGTTTCGTCTGTGTGGGCATACTCTCTCGGCATCGAAATGATAATATTAGAACGAAGAGCGGTGGCGGCCGAGCCGGTAATTATGCGTAGTCCCGCGGGAGAGGCGAGGCCCGCGGTATATAACCACCGAATTTGCATCGAGATACAATCGGAGAAACGGGGAGAAATTCCTCTCTCTCCCCCGCCCCTTCGTGCGTCGGTTCCATCGCGTCGGGAAAGATTTCCGGGGCCCGGCAATTAGCAGTAATAACCTATTCCGCGCGCCAATCAATGTTAATTGACATCGGCCAGAGCCAGAGCGAGCGGCCCCGCGAAAGAAACGCGAAAGCTCCCGGAATTCTATTCGTGTGCGCGCGCGGGCGCACCTGCGCGCTCGCCAATCCGGCGAAAATTGCGCGCAATTTGCGCGAAAATAAAATCAAAATGTGAACGGGCACGACGCACGGCGGATTCGAAAAGGCAGCCCGCTCCGCGCTGCCTTTCGCGAGAAGGTAGGGGGAGAGGAGTAGCCCCCCCTTCGTTCTCGCCAGCGCAGGGCGGATGCACGCTTCGAGTGGCTAATTTTCTTCCTTCTCTTCGCTAGCCCCCCTCAACCCCACAGTTCCTCCCTCCACTTGGTGATTTCCCCGTCCTCCTCTAGCACGGTACATCTCTCTCTCCTCTCCACCGAGGACGAAACGACCAGCGCTTTGATGGAGGACATCTCGCCGCTAATTATGATTAATTTGTGAGACGAGCGAGCGAGGACCTCGAACCCGGCAGCTACCGGGGGCGCAGGGGACCATGGGGATGCAGAGGGGGAGAGGAGGGGCCGGGGGAGAGGACGTAATTAATATTCTCAGCAGGACGGCGTTGCAACGTCACGTGAACGTCACCCAGGTGACTCCGTCGACGATTTCCCCGTTCCGAGTCCGGGGGAGCTTTCTTTCGGTCCAATCGTACGCACGGCCGCTTTACGCTGCGTAATTACGCGTTCGATATAATTGCGCGATGATTATTCACGACTGGTTATCCCCGCGCGCCTTTAATGCACGCGTTATTAGACGCGAGCGAAGGCGCGGAGTCACGGGGGAATGCACGGTTATTCGAAATGCGAGAATCACGCGCGCATTTAACTCCGTAGTAAATCCCTTCTGTAGATTCTCGAGTCTGCGAATCGATTAAGTCAGCACCGAATTTCAGCAATGGATTTCCGTAAATAAAATTCGGCAAACACGTTGAGAAACACATAAACGCAAAGCAAAGAAAAGTAGCCTTCGGCTCAACATATCAATTTCACGAATGTGCATTAATCTCTTCCTTCTACAGATTCCTCGTTATATCTCAAACTGATGCCCCGTGGATTTATTTCCCTAAGTATGAATATTTTATTCATGTAAATGTATGTACTTATAAAGCGTATTCAAATGAAACAGCTTCTTCCGAATGGGTTAATAGGCACGCGATATGATCTCGCGATGCGGCTATTCGCGACAACGATCTCGCTTTTGTTTAATGCACGTGTTATAAGTAAAAAAGCGCCTCTGTAAGATTATAAGATTGCTCAAATGGCGTATTTCATTTAATTCTTAAGTAGATTTACATCCGACATCCTTGATTCTCGAATCCTATATTAATTCCAAGCTACGATCTTAAAAATCACGGATCTCTCCGGTTTTATAAACATTTACATTTATAATTGATTTTACAATTAACGATCACATCTTTTATATCGGTATCGTATTAATGTTTTAGACATTTGAATTATAATTCGTGTATCGATGTGAGAGAAAAGAAAAGAAAAATGCGTGTGGTCTAATAAAAATAAAGTCATTAACATTGACTGAATTCAATATAGTTGCGCGATCATTATTCATAATTGGCCGCAGCTCGTTTCTTTAATGCTCGCACTGTTAGATAATAGCGTTTCACGGGTTTGTAAAAGAATGCAATATCGTGAGGATTCCGCGCGATGAAAAAGTAGTGATTAGATTAGGCATGTTAAGAACGCTGCGGAAATTAAAATTTCAAACAGATATACTTTACAAAATTGGACGGATATTGTCGGCGATATCATTACAGTTTTCATAATCTTATTTCGATTTCTTGTAGTCCCGCAATGTAACATAATTGCACGTTCGATATAATTGCGAGTAATTATTGTTAATTACTGTTTAATATGAGTTAAATTGTTCTGACGTCACGCGGCGAAGGTTTGATCATTTTTCGAATCGCGTGTGACTGTAATTATAGGTCAAACGTAATTATGAGTAATTATCGATAATTATTTAGTAATTCGAGGTCGATTGTCGCTCGGCAGAATTGAAAAACCATTTATAAACTTCTGACAAGCAAATTCTTCATAATTACCAATTTTGCGAAATTACACTGCGCTCGATAGGTGCTGTACTACAAAGTATAATTATCAAGAACAATTTCGAGAAATGTCTAATTAAAGTATCAAGGTAAAAGTTCATAAAAAGAAAAAAATATTTTCATCAATAGTAGACGAAATTAGCACTCCATTTTTACAATTATATAGATGATTTATTTTATTTATCAAATCGAAATTGAGACTGAACTCCTATTCCGTACGAATACGCGTGACCGGTATTATTGACTCGCGATGTGGTATATCGGTGATTATTACACCAATCAATTCGCGTTCCGAAGGAAGGGAGGGTCCGTGATGGCGTGGCGAAAGGGTTTAATTACGTGCGTCTCGGCGATGACGAAGACAAATACCTAAGTGTGATTGCCAGTAGTAAACTCGTCGAGTTTTCGATCAGCTGGTACCACCGTGACTAAAGTTCCTCGACGTGCCGACCGCGATGCGGAGAACGCTGCCCGTTACCGCCTGTGGACGTGATTGAGTTGCATCGGATTCGGAAAGATTGTTTCGTGTCATAGAGCTCCGACGATTTAATAAAAAAAAACTTTCGTCTATCGGCTATTGAATTATTCTTCCCTCGGCTAGCGTGAACATGAATTACTTCGCGCTTCTGCGGCACAATGCCAACAATTGGATTTAAATTTGTATTCCGCGATATTTTATGTATCAATGTATGGTATTTCTTCCACAAGTTTTATACATATACACATATCTCCTATAAGTTACATATACCTATATATATAACTTAAATTTTATTAATTAAATTACATATTTTGGTCTTAGATATATTCTTCTGTCCTTCTAATTATTTTATTAATTACACTATTCAAAACGGTGAACTAGAATTATTCTTCTGTAAAGTTATATAGATCAAACCACACACAGAAATTATCATAAATAAAAGAAGAAATCAGATATTGTATCACAGAAAATATTAAAACGTATTTATAAAAAAATTAGCAAAAGGTACTAAGAAAAGTTTTTGAAATTTCAAGTGACTATTCGTGAAGAAGATTTCCTATTTCTGCGCTCTCGAAAGATTTATATTAACTTTGTTAACTGTAATCTATTCTTAAATTCGCATCCTCGAAAGTCCGGCGGCTCAAGGGCACTCCTTCTTAAGCAGGACTGTCGATCTTCTACGCTTTCGCTCAGCAATCTGTCTCTCGGAGCCGACAGCGGCGGTGTCACGCCTAGTAGCCGCGGCTAGCCGCGTCGGGAGAAATTTTAATAAACGGTTCCCCGGGTTACCGATGCCCGCATACATATGTAACACGCACGTACGCGGCCAAGTGTGGAGGTGTTGCCCGTTGCCTGGTAGCCGGCAGGACGACGCGGCTGGGGGAGAGAGGTTAATCACCCACGCTGGATTTTAATAAACGGTTCGGGGGGCAAACAAAGCTGGCCATCAATAACCATGGCGCTGCCTCGCTCTCTCATTCTCTCTCGTTCCGTCTTTCTTCCTCCATCCCAGCACCGGGGGCCCCCACGGCCCACCTCGCCGCCTGACCGACCCGCGGCCATGCCAGGGCCTTTGCCACCAGCTTGTCGAGTCTCGCAGCGGACAGCGAGATAGGCGGAGATTGTATCTCCGTGGTTATTAATTAACCGGCGAGAAGGGAAGGCCCCCTTTCATCACCTCGCAAACGATATCGCCTTCAGCGAGAGAGGGCCCTCGGTCTTGCCCTAGCATATAGATAGCATACAGCCGTAGCTCGGGGACCTCTCGTTTGATACAAGTACTCTGATATTTGCGCGTATACAAGGGGACAGATCATCACGCATAATAAAGTGGAAGTTTGTGTTAATATAAATATTAAATTATTATTTGTCGAAATTATGTGTTATAGATATTATTAGACATTACGAAGATTCTACGAGTAACAAAACGCGGTCACAACGACGTTCTCGTTCATACTATTTGCTCAAAACACATAAACGACGCAAAATATTAATTAAATATGAATAGTGTTGTATTTTATTTTTTATTCAGAAAGCAAAATGAATATCGGATATAAGGCAAAATAAATATTGTTGTCTTATGACCAAGTTATAATCTGTGTTACCTTAAAAGAAGTTTTTAATTTTTATCTTTGCGTTAACGAGATACCAGAAGTATTTACATATAGATAAGCAGAGACTGGAGTATCTCTCGTTATCAGCTGTTTAAAAATATTATGCTTAAATTGTATTAATAATGTAGAGGAAAAAATGTAAGACTTAAGCAACGTATGTCGACGACAAACGCGATCCACTTCCTCGTTATGGAATTTGTAGGAAAGGTGAAATTAGATCCAGCAAGATCCGCACATTGCGATATCGAGATATCTCGCGGAAAAATCAATACGAAACGGCGTAATGGGCACTTACCCGTTTATGGACGTTCGACTGATGAACCAGGATAACGCCGACCTGGCTAACGAGTGCCAAGCCTGCAGGGGCAGCGAGTCGGATCTCTCCGCGGATCTCACGAGGAAAATTTCGGCGGCTTTGTCGGGCTGGTCGGCATTGGGACCGGTACCGAGCGGGACCCACAAATCCAGCAGATCTTCTCTGATCTTGGTTTTGTCTACCCTGTACCACTGTAAAAATAAAACATAATTGTTAGCTTCGTTCTTATCTTCATCACGGTTTTGTCTTCGCATTATTAAATATATATAATAAATGAAATTAAGTTTTACTTCGGAAAAATTTTTGCGCAATTCTACACGAATAAAGAACTTTTGGCT